TAAATAGTATTTTCTTCCTAATTCTCAGTGAAATGACTCCAGCATATTCTAGTATATAAAACTCTCTGCACTTACATTTTTTGCATTTTTTACTTGTAAAATTCACATATTATAAATGTGACATTTTAGTGATTCTCAAGGGTAGTATAGCTCAGTGGCATCTGACAAAATCATGTTATATAAGCAGCACAACAATTTAATTTCGTAACACTTATCATTACCTTAAAAGGAAAACCCTATATTCATTAAGCAATCACCTTTTTTTCTTGTCTTCTCCGAAATCCTTGGAAACCATTAATCTGCTTTCTGCAAGTATAAATGTGCCTATTCTGCATATTTCATGTAAGTGATCTCATATACTGTTTTTGCCTTCTGTCAATGATGTTTCCAAGGTTCATTCCAAACAAAACATTCTGATACTAAAACAATACATACATTTTACAGAATAACATCTTTAGGTTCATTCTGTTAACAAACAAAGTTATATTTCTTATATAGGCATTCAAAAACTACTAAGTCAAAATTATGTATGTGACACATTAACCAGGATAACAGAAATAACATAATGCCAACTTTCCTAATAGATGAGGAAAGTTAACAATCACAAAAGTTTCAGATGTTTGCTCAGCAATAAGCCACAGCCTAAAACAAGCCACTGGAACGGGGCTGGAACTCTCCTTAAAAACATTTCAATCATGCTGGCTCTGTAAATAATGTGAAAGTAAAATTTAAGTAAATAAATATTCCAGATTTAAATAGGAATGTTTCAAAAATGTTTAAAGATTATTTATATGAATACTATAGTACCTAAAAAAGTATTTGTAAGAAACATCACAGTTACTTAAGTAGGTTCTTTACATACATTTGTACTTTCCAAAATTTGTATTAAGACGACATAGTACAAATCTACACTTGATGTTAGCCAAAAGGCCGAGAAGCGATGACATAGTAGAAATCTAAAAAAGGTTATCAGATGCTAGGAACAGTAAGGAAAATTGGGACAGAAGACAGTACCCAGGGTTACAGCTAGACAACAATTTTTAATAACTTCTATAGCAGGTAACAATTTGTCAATCAAAAAGATACATCAAGTTTTGATTATAATTTTCTAAAAATCTCACTTCTTACGCTGACATCAAAGCATTAAAAGAAACCCTTCTCTCCAAACAAAATTTAAACAAAATCTAATGCTCATATTTTCAGAGTCCTTAAGATCTATCAATGAATGCAAGGACAGCATCACAATGTAGCAAGTAAAGCTGCTGCAATTCCAGCTTCACTTTCTTTTTAAGATTTTATTTATTGAAAGGCAGATTTTAACAAAGAGAAGGAGAGACAAAGAAGGTCTTCTATATACTTTAAAACGGTAAACAAGAATATTTCATTAAGTGAAGTAGGTTACTTACCGATAATGCTGATTCTGATTACAAAACATAATTGTAATTATAGAGATCAATCTCAGAGTAGAGAATTTTTGGCTGCAGCAAATTCAGATCTACTCTAAAGGTTCTTTATGTAGAAACCCAAGTCTACGCAGCAATTCCTCAAAGGATGAGGCTGCCAAGCACAGCTCTGCCTAACAATTTTGGTCCCATAAGTAATTTATGATATTACAAATAATAAAAATACACTAATCATGAATTAGGAAAAGTCTGTTACATAGTACATCTACACTGTCTACTTCTAAATTGTCATGGGTAACAAATGAAAAACTGTATGAATTTGCTTTGTAAAGTGTAAAGCATAAAATCCATCCCTAGGCATAGAGTGTTTCTGTCTCCTTTATAGACAACACTTTGGTCAACAATAAAAGTAGAATCTCAGAAAATCAATACATTTATACACACACAAACACAAATTTTCCCTACGAAATTTCTGTTAATGAAAATACCAAATGCTTTACTAATCAGCACATAAGCATGCTGCAACAGAACAACATATGGTAACTATTTAATATCATTAGCATTTTCAAAAAACAGGTTTAATATTAAAATTCATAGGTTTTTTTTTTAAAGATTTATTTACTTTCGTTTTAAAGGCAAATTTACAGAAAGGAGGTACAAAGAGAAAAGATCTTCTGTCCACTGTTCACTCCCCAAGTGGCTGCAATGCCCGGAGCTGTGCCGATCCAAAGCCAGGAGCTTGGAGCTTCTTCTGGGGTCTCCCACCTAGGTGCAGGGTCCCAAACAGGAAGCTGGATGGAGGTGGAGCAGCCAGGACACAAACCAGGGCCATATGGGATCCTGGTGGTTGCCTGGCAAGGATTGAGCCACTAGGCTATTGCACAGAGCCCCGAAGTATTTTTAATATGCCTTAAAATTAAGGTTCCCAATTGGAGAGTTCCTAAGTAATGCATTCGTGTACCTTCTCTACATGGAGTACCGAAGCAAAACACATGTTCATTATCTAGAACTTTATTATATCTACTCACTAAAGTTTACATTTAGAAGCAAAGATTCTTAAATGAAGCTATCCATTGCCTTTCCATTTAAATTGAATTTTGGAAGAGAATTCAAATGTAGTTGATCAAATCGTATTATCTAAGACCTGAAAGCTCTGAACAGCTATGTCACGACACTATTTTGAATGATGACATTTAAGATAAATGCCAGTATCACAGTAAATCATCAGAGCTCAAGATAAAATATACGTCATATAAATATATATTATCAACATATATGAAGGAATAGGAGCCTACATTGTAGCAGAGCAAGTAAATTAGCCAGCTATGATGCCAGTATCTTTTGCAGGACCCAGTTTGTGTCTTGGTTGCTTCACTTCCAATTCAGCTTCCTACTAATGGCCTGGGAAAAAAAATGGTTGATGACCAAAAATTTGGCCCCTGCCACTCACAAATGAAGCTCTTGGCTCCTGATTTCATCCAGGCCCAGCGCCAGCCATTGCAACAACCCCAGGTGTGAACAAGCAAATAGTTGATCTGTCTTTCCTCCTTTTAACTCTTTCAAATAAATAAATCTTCTATATACATTCAAGAATGGGATCAAAAGAAAGAGAAAGTGATTTTTATAGAAGAGATTACACCTTTCAAAATACTCTGGTCCCAAACTTCTTTAAATTATCAGTAAGAAGCTAATTACCATGTCCCCTCGCCATCTCATTTCTCCCAAATTTGGAGGAAAAAAGGTTTACAAATGAAGTGCCAACATTTTAAAGCAACACCTAGCCCCAAAAAGAGTCAAATTTGTGCAAAATTAGCCAATGAAGCACTGAGAATACTATCTAAAGCAAGCACCATCCAAATTGCAAAGACTTTATTTACACAAAATACCCATAAACTGATCACTTTTAAGCATGAAATGTTATTAATGCAGAACATCATCCTTTAAATGTTATGGCTACTATCTTTTAAATATTATTTTATGGAAATATCATCATTCAGAACCCTCGTCAAGGAGCTAGAATCATAGCATAAGCACCTCACAGCCATCACTTGTGTAGCTGGTTCTGAGACTCCTAAAACCTGCACTATGTGTTTAAAAGATGCTCATACAAAATTATTTTTGTTAAGTTCTTAAACCAAAGTATTTTTGCCCAAGTGATATGATCTGACCGCAACTCTTCCTGGGGGTGGGCAAGTAGTGGATGCTTAAATCACTACTCCTGCATCCCGATCTGACTCTATGGATTCAAGTGCTGGCTCTGCTTCTAATCCAATAGTGAGCACCCTGAGAGGAAGCAGGTGATGACTGAGGTTCTTGGGTCACTACCACCTACATGGGAGACAGGAAACGAGTTTCCATCTCCTGCCTTCAGCCTGGCCCTGTCTTAGCTGTTTAGAACATTTGGTGTGCTCACTCTCATGCTTTTTATCTTCCAAATAAGTTACACACACTTATTTATGTGTTTGTAAATTTTAAAGTCTATATACTATAGGTGTATAGATGGCTAACATTATGTAAATCTGTCTTTTGCTATTGCCGATCAGGCATTTATGATAAGCACTTTGTGTTACAGTTCCTTTCAGGATCACGAAACAGAGCTACCTCCAACTGTGAAAAATTTGGAAACAAAATTAATTACAAAGGGTGTCTAACACAAAAACTGAAGCAATGGTTCTTCAGAGTCTTCCCTTGTTGTATCAGAAAAAGCTGTGTTAAATATCTTATAATTACATAGCAGAGTAACTTTGTTACTGTGCTAATTACTGTCAATAGTTTTAACAGTAACACGTACTTCTCTTAATCACAAATGTCAAAGATGAGAGACAAAGCACATTCTTAAATAAAAATTTTACTTGGGAAATAAATGTAACTAAGATAAAGTAAATTATAACCTGCCAGATTTTTCCCACAACTAGGTGAATCTAAGCACTCATTCATTGTTCTATCTGGAAGGCATAGACATTTCGTAAAACTGAATCAAAATGTATCATTGACTCAACATATTTCTAGTTTATATACTGGAACAGAACACCAAATCTTGTTTAACATGTCTTTTTACTATAATAAAGTAATAAGAAATTGAGTTTCAAAGTCTCCTGCTTTGTAAATGTTGAAAAAAATCAATATGTTTATCTTAAATTTTTTATAAAACACAAATTTCAGCTATAACAAAAACCATATGAAGGGAGAGCACTTGGCATAACCAGTTAGAACACTTGGAGTCCCCATATTCTAAGCCAAAGAGCCTGGATTCAAGTCCTGGCTCTGCTTCCAATCCCAGTTTCCTGCTAATGCCCATCCTGGGAGGCAGTAGATAAGAACTCCGATAATTGGGTCTCTGTCATCCACAAGGGATACTGGATTAATTTCTGAGCTACTGGCTTTAGCCTGGTCCAGCCAAAGCTGTTGCAGGCATTCAGAGAGTGAACCAGCAGAGAGGAGTTCTCTGACTCTCTTTCCTTGTCTCTCTCCTTTCAAATAAATTAATACTAATTTTAATAATTTTTAGAAACCCAATATGAACAAACATGAAAAGACAGTGAAAAGTTTGGGAATAAGAAACAAAGCAGAATTCATGGTTACCATATTTACACATACTCTTTGTTGTGTTTCAGTGCCACATGATCTGATTCAAAGTAATACACATCAGGATCATCATCTTCCTCTTCTGTAATGTGCTGATTGGCACTCTCTTTGGCAGACGGCAAATGTCCAATATTCAGTCTTGCCTCTGAGGGTGGTTTACTTAGACCATCACTTCCATAGTTATGAGAGTCACATTTATCCTTTCGGTTTTCAGAAATTTCATCAGGATTTGTGGGAGACTCTCTTACATTATCACTAACAGTTGGATTTGTTTCAGTGGGGCTAAGATTATTCTCCTCAAATTGTCCATTTTCTCTGCAAGGAGAACTGCTTTTAGTGGGACTAGCTCTGGGTATCGCCTTCCGTGGTGAAGTTCGCAGGGTATAACGATGTTCTTGAGGTTCTGATAAAGACATCATTTGAGCTGAAACACAGTCTAGAACAGAGGATGGTTCCGGTTCTCCAGACAGCGGCATACTTTGAAGAGCTGCGTCCAGGACGTTACCGGTGTTTTCTTTACACTGCTCTTTTGAGGCATTGCTATCTCCCACCACATCTACTTCTTCCTCAGAATCCCTTAAAGATGACTGAATTTCAGAAACCGGGCCTGTAGCTGGCTCAGTAGTCAGCTGATTAACATGTTCCACAGGCAGGCAAGCAGTTACTATTTTGTGGTCCTCCAACTTGACCTGCACTTCTGATTTTGTGCAAAGCACGTTATGGTCTATATAACTGTCCTCCTTCCTACTATCAAGGAATATTGAAGTTTTGGTATTTGAATCCCCATTTTCAGTTACTGATTTTTCCTGCAACACATAGGAACCAGTACTATTTTGCTTAGTGTTCCCATCAGGCTGACAGTCATCACAGTTTATAACAGCTGAATCACTGTCATCAACACCATTGACAGTCAGATAGCCTGTGATTTCTTCAACTACTGCAGAATTAAGTGGCCCCTGTTCACTTACATTCACCTTTTTAATTTCCCTTTTCTCACAATCATCCAGTATAAGACATCGACAAGCTCGTTTAGTTCCTTGAAAATCTGCATCATTGTCCACTACTGTACTCTTCTGTTCTACCAACTCCTTGTCTGATTTTATAGGTGAATCTTCCTCTGAACTGTTTGGTGCTTCAGATCTAAGACAACGTTTAATTCTTTTAAAAACTGGTGAAACAGGTTCTGTTTGTTTTCTCTCACAATTTTCTACAGCCTGCCTTTCTAAGTTATCCTTTTCGGAAGAAGACAGTCCTCTTTTCCTAGGGCTTACCCATGACTCCCGAGTACTTTGCTGTTTTAAATCAGCACTTCTTCCACTGTTGTTGCCTTTCTGAATTTGTACAGGCTCTGGTCTCTTCTTTGGTGATCTTGATCGTACTTGAGAATGAGAAGAGATTTCTTCAGGGTGAGCAATGCTACGATTCCTTAAGGTTCTACCACAAAAAGATTCATCCAAGCCGTTTAACCCCACTGTTGATCTTGTAACACGAGTAGATCGGGAAGCAGCCATACTATGGCAAGTCCCTACATTACGGTCATCATGATCCACTCATTGGGAAACCTTCAAAAATGTAAACAAAATAATGAGAAAAAGGTAATAATTAATATACCTAAAACAAAAGCATAAAGCTATAACTTCCAATCCAAGTTTAGCTAATATCAATAAATTACATAATAAAAATATTTTTATAACCATTCCAACATTATTGATAGCTAACAATTGCATGGCATTTAAAGTGCATCAGGAATCCTGTTTTATTTAGGTTAAGTTGCTTAAGAATCACAATAATTCAGGTAAGTTCTATCTTCCTTATTTTACAAATGAGATAGGCCTAGACAGTCTTAAGCAATATGTTTCATAACACACAGCTAGAAAGTGACTAAAAATCATCCTCAACTTGCTCATTATGTATCCCTCAGATACACACAAAGTACCCAGAAAAGACTTATCTTAAAGATGGAATTTCATCTTGATTATTACAATAACAATGTTGATTCTTATACAGCCGAAATCTTAAGAAAAATATTCTAATCATTTACCATGTTCACTGAAAACCTTCCTAAGTCATAGAAAGGGGGAGGTTCTGCTCTTTCTTATTTAAAATGAGTAAACGAATTTCAACCCAAGCACTTTGGCATTGATAAAACTTCCCAGTAGTAAATGTTTTTAATTAAATAAAAGTACAGAAATCACAACCATAGCTTATACTGGCTAGGAACGAAGTAAAATAAACCCAAACTTTCCCAACCTCTAGCCATAAAGCCACAAATCAGCAAGTGAGACCAAATATTGTAAAAAGAATAGATGATAATGAAAAATAATACCCTGGAGCAAATATTTACATTTAAGAAAGGAGTCACACCCTATCCTTCTCAAAACTAGTGTGAATAATATATGCCAGTTTCAACATATTGTTTGGGCACTAAGCAGGTTGTCTTGTGTGACTGGCTGGAGTTAAGATAAAAATGAGACACTGAAAAATGCCCTTGGGCCTGGTGCGGTGGTTCAACTGGCTAATTCTCTCCTTTCAAGTGCTAAGATCTCATATAACCACTGGTTCATATCCCAGCTGCTCCAGTCCCCAGCTTGTGACCCAAGGAAGCAGCAGAGGATGGCTGAAAGCCTTGGGATTCTGCACCCACACGTGAGACCCAGAAGAAGCTCCTGGGGCTCTTAGCTTGAGATCAACTCGGCTCTGGTCACTACAGCCACTTAGGATGTGATCCAGTGGCTGAAAGATCTTTCTGTGTCTCTCCTTCTCTTAGTAAATCTGCCTTTCCAATGCAATATGTCAAATCTTTAAAAAAAAAAAAAAAGCTAACTGATCCATTTGAATAAACTGAACAATTTGCTGATATTTTCCAAAGGCTCACCCACATAGCAGAACAGAACTATTAACATTTTAAGTCTCTTTTTTTGTTAGGGTTTCAGAGGACATCTGCTACTTCTCTGTCTAATTTTGAAAAGGTACAAGATGGTTAGAGAAAGAGGTCGATAACACTTACAAGTACAAAGTCTCACAGTCTCCTAACTCTTCCTGCCTTGTGCCCTTTCCTCTCATATAACCCTATCCTCTGTCCCTGCAATTTCATCCTTTGCTTCCATTAGAAGGATCTAACAGTACACAGGTTAGAACATTGGAAGACAAAGCAAAATGTCACAAACGAAAAAGAAACATTATAGGACAATGTTTCCCTGTTCGTCCCTACTGTCCCATGAATCAAGTGAGAAAGCACCCTGGAAAATATGTAATTTGGTTCAATCAGTTTTGTGTGAAAGTATGCGAAAAAAATTTTAATTAGTAATTTTAAGAAATCTCATCAGATTCACAGCAGCCCAGGAATTAGAGTACAATTAATTTTCTAGACAATGTCATAGCAATCAAGAGAACAAAAGTACACACCACCAATCAGAGCTCACAAATACTTTTCTTACAGTAAGCTTTTCCTACTTGGTGATTCAGTAAAGGGACTTCTGATATGTAATTATATTTTGCTAATATCTTAATATTACAGTCTTTCTGGTTTTATTCACAAGTAATGAAATCCAAAAATTTCTATTTTAACTACCAAGAATCTTAAATTTCAAATGATACTTCTAAAAGAACACAACAGAAAAATACTAGAACTTAATTTACTTGTTTTAGATACCCAAATCTTAGCTGTAAAATTTGAAAGAAACTGATTCTTAAATGTTAAAATCTGTAAAAATACAGAAAACAAAGTTATAAGCTACTTACAAAGTCAAAATGCAAATCTCTTTAACATAAACTTAATTGTATTTATAATCTATGGTTTGGTTGTATTACTGGCAGCAATAACATTTTATAGACACACCCACAAAGAATCTATTAGCCTTTACTTTTTAAAATTAAATGTGAATTAGGGGATGGTATGGTGCCACAGCAGATAAAGCCACCACCTGCAAGCAGCTCTACTTCCCATGCAGCTTTCTGCTAACGGCCTGGGAAGAGCAGCTGAAGATGACCCAAATGCTTGGACACCTGTCATCCACCACAAGAAAGACATGGACAGAGACCCTGGCTGCTGACTTTAACCTGCCACGCAGCATCTAGGAAGTGAACCAGCAAATGGAAAATCTCTGTTGCTTCCTCTTTCTTTTAAGCCTATAAGGTCTTGTGACGTAATTCTTTTTTTTTTAAATGTAAAAAAAAAAAATGAGATGTCAATCAAAGGCTTTATAAACATCTTAAGTCATTCCAAAAGCACGCTTCCCTTCGCCCCTCTTTCTACATCAATCTGAATGAAAGCAAAATCTGCCTCATAACACAAACTTCCCTAACAGAGATTTTTTGGGGAGTGAAACAAACCTAATATTGCTAATACTAAGAACTACTTATGAAGAATATATATGTAAAAATCTACAAAATATCACCGATACTGACAGCAAATATTAATTATTCACCATTCTATTAATTAAAAATTAGTGATTAATATGAAAAGGTTAAATATCAAAAGTACAATAATATAAAATGCTAAGCTTCTGCTACTTTTCCTCCCTAAAAATTATTTTTACTCCATACAATAACTGTAGTGACGGCCAAGTTTTAGAGTTCTCAAATCCTGCGTTCTTCGGCCCTATTTAAAGCAATCTACCCTGTTTAATGACAAGGATCCTTTGGAATTTTGTACTCTTCCACCTCAAGACATGACCTGAGGCTCATCACCATGGCTATCTACATCTCCTGCAAGCTTCCTCAGAAATAGTAGACACTTACCAAGATCTACCACTAAATCAAAGTCTCACACGAATAAAGAGCATTTTAGAAGCTGACAAGTACAATCTTTAACACTGAAATAGTTATCCTAATAAAAGGCTCAATTATCATTTTTCAATTTAAATTACACATGTTTATAATAAATCCTTTAATTCTTTACTGGATTCAAATAATAAAAATAGAATCATAAACAAGACTATGACCTCTCCTATAGCAGCAAAGAGGATATCATAAAAATCTGCTGACTGGAATGAACATATTTCCTGCACTTAGGGCAATAAACTAATTAAATTATACCATTAGAGTTAAATAACATTTTAATAATCTTCCTTCTGATAATTCTTAGAAATTCAAAAGTTGAAAATACTGTATCATTTTCTTCCTATCATTTTGGGTAAACATATGTCAAGGCAAAATTTTCTGTAGTTAGCTAATAAACTGAGGGCAAAATTCAATTTTCACAAAAAGAATAAGACTAAATAAAAGCCTATACTCATCATTATTCTCTCAGCATTATTTTGTCATCCTTTACAAAGTAGTCCATGCTAAAGCAGTTCTTTTCCTTCATTAGTTGCCTAACAAAATATTTATAAAAGAATCCAGTAAAAATGCTTGGAGCACAAAACTCTATTTTGACAAATATTGAGCTCCTCAATTACATGTCAGAAAATAGTCCTATTTGTTAGCTAATAGTAATCATCTAAAATCAGGTATTTAATCACTCCCCGTTTAGAATCATGGGAAACCATTATTTAACACATTCACATAGGCAAAATCCAATGCAGCCACTAGACTCAAGTTTTTCCTTAATGTTATAAACCAATTAAATAGTGGCACTTTTTGTAAAACGCAGAAAATCAAATGCAATCAATCAGCGAAATAAGTCGGCCCTCCTCCCTAAAGTTTTCACCCCAAAGGAAGGCACGTGAGGAAGCTCTGTTAAATTTCAGTCTGTCCACATTCCTACCCACAATTCCACACACTGTACCCCTTATTTCATGTAGAACTATACTTCCCTATGCTCACATCTACAGAACTCCATGAGTAAACAGCAAAAATAAGAAACAAAAAACTGTCCAGGCTAATGAAACACTGCTCAAAGTATTGGCTTTTCTAAAGAAAGCAAGTAAGGGAGCAAATATTAGAAAAAGGCACATTGGTAACACTACATTTGCTTTTTTGTCTCTCTTACTGGATTATCTGCAATGAATATGTAGTGTTACCAATATGCTTTTCTCTAACTGTCTAGAAAGAACATAACCTGTCTCATTGTTTAGTCTATGCTAGTCATAATCCTTTTCAGACAAATTACTTCAGACCTGTAATTATCACAAAATGCTTAAGGTTAATAACAGAAAAGTGAAATTTGATGGAGGTGGGAAGTAAACTAAAAAGGTTGTTAATATCTGTCTCTTCAAACTCCAGAAACTCCAGCAGGCACTTACACTGTCTTATGTAACAGATTTCTGAGGCAATGGTAGTGTGGCTCAGCAACTTAACATGCCACTTGAAACGCTGGTATCCTGTATCGGAGTACCACTTGAAGCCCTAGATGTTCTGCTTCTGATTAAGCCCCTTATTAATGTGTCCAGACATATAGCGAGAATGGCCCAACAGTTAGGGCCCTTTCAACCTGTGTGGGAGACCTGAATGGCATTTTGAGCTCCTAGCTTCAGCCTGCACTGGCGCTGGCCATTAAAGCCATTGGGGTAAGGAATCAGTGAACAGAAGTTTGCTCTCGCTCGTTCTCTCTTGGCCTCTGCCTTTCAAAATGCTAAATAAAATCTGATAAAAAGTAAAGGAATTTCTGTCTTCTTCAGAAATGAAATACAGGAATACACAGATCAATTGGTCTGCATGAATATATACTTAGAACACAAATGGGAAAAAAGAGAAGTCAAGGACTTCCATATTGTCCCCTAAGTTTCAAAAATAGGTTTAACCACCCAGAGTCCAGTGTGTTAAATTCATCTATCTCCTTGTTGGGAAAAGAGTAAGAAAATATTTTATCCCTAATCCATTCCCTATGTTTCCATACTCCTGTAAGTACCCAGGCAAATTATGCAATTTTCCATACAAATGATGAAATGTAGGGAAAAAAAAAACTCCCCTGCATCCAAAAGATTTTTTAATAGAACTGTGTTCATTACTGCAAAACTAAATAACTTACCTGAATAACCAAAGATCTATCATTGTGGAAATATTATCTCTTTCCTTATATCCTGAAGTAGTTGAAGCTACGATCTAGAATAGAGCTTAAGCATCAGGGTTTCAGGCTCTCAGCTTCAGCCATGGAGAATACTAGAACCTTTTAAACTCCTTTCTTTAAAATAAAATGATGAAAAAAAAAAAAGAATTAAAGAGGAAAATTAACTTAAGCTAAAAGATTCAGTCTTTCTAAGACAAGAGGAAAAGCAGGTAACAGAATGTGTTCATGGTAATACCTGTGATGCCTCTTGGTAACTGCTGCATTGGGGATACCAAGAAACTGAAATCGGACTGCCAGAAACCAACAAAAACAGAGAGAGCCTGATAGACACCAAATTCTTACAGCAACATTAGTTGAAGTCAAACTGTGACTCCGTTCATCTCAGGCAACAGCTCTAACAATTTTTTTTTTTGGTGATCTAAGGGTCACCTTAGATATGATTTCTCATTATGAAATTTATAATCTAATTTTAGAAGACTCTCCCAAAAGTTGGACTTCATGTACATAAAACTGGGAACTGAATAACAAAAAACATTTAATACATACCAAAGAAACCAAGTCTTCCATACTTAGAGGATAACCTTAATGCATATTAAAAGTACCATAGACTCAATTACTGAAGGAAATTTCTATTATTTTTAGCAAATGGATTTTCAACAAGGACAAAAGCAGGATTTTCTGTTTTTAGTACCCAGTTAGCTAGATATTTTAATTATCCCAATTACATTCAAAGTCTTGAAACAGTCTGCTTAGTTACAATTTTACTTTATAATATTATGTGATGACATCCTTGTCAGAGAATGTACAACGTGGCTAAACGGGCTATGAAGATTGTCAGTCAATTTGGAAATAAGGAGGAACACCAGGAAGAAGACCAGCAGATACTTATAACTGCCACTGTCACTTTAATAAGCACAAAAGTAGGTATTCTAAAAATGATGCCGTTTTTCATAAAGGATTAAAATGTAAACAATGTAATTATCAAGCCCTGTAAACCAGAGTTATTTCCTTATAAAAACGGATTACTGCCTAGCTAGAGTGGAATAGGGTTGATCAAGTATCTATAATGCTACTTCTCCCAAATATGCCATGTAAATGGTTGAAAAAGCACAAAACAAGAAAACTTACTAAATAGAAATATTCAATGCTAATTTTTAAAGTTATCTAAATTAACATAGGAGCAGAAACAGAAAATAAGATCAGACAGAAAGCAATCCGTGACTTGAAAATTAACTCTTTGAAAAATGAAGACTCCAACTTACTATTCCTTTGTACCCAACCCTGAAGCTTTCAACAGATATGGCAGAATCTTTATATTCTGTAGTGTACAATGGCAATTATCACTGGTAAAGAGGATCCACAACCTACAATAAGTCTCTGAGCATACATGAATATGCCCATTCTAATTCTCCTAATCAAGTTCTAGTCATTCATATTAGGGTAGCTAAGTGGGAGAAGCTATAGGTACATCATCCATTACTTATTTTACAAGCAAGAACATTTGCAACTGTTATTTTCACTGAAGAAGTGATACTTACAGCTGAGTTCTACCAGTAATAAGATAGGTAGGATTCTGTATATGTGCTTCTCAAAAGCCTGGTAATACTGAAAAAGAAACTTCAGTAAATTATTTCTAACTAAACCCCACTGGGCTTTAATTAAGGTTACAGTTTTTTTCTTACCTTTTTAAAAGTGTTTCGCCTAGTATTTGAATTCCAAGCATCTGTATTTATCTGTCATCATTGTCACTGTTCATACATTGAGACTTCAGGTTAATTATTTCTATGTTTCTACTAGCAAAACTTGGTATCTGTGAAGGGAAACCACAATATTGTCACTATGCATGTGTTACTATTTACAGATTTGTGGATAAAAGTGTTCTATCTAAACACTTCTATAACATTCATTTCCTAAACTTCACAATTCTCATACTTACTTAAGAAATGTCTGATATCCTCAACAGTTTAAGATGATGTGCTAACACTTTCCAATTCTTATCAGAGTACCCACATGCAGGTTTGCTAAATTTAAATCAAATCCCTACAAATGTTAAAATGAAAGTTCACTTCCACGTTTTAAGACAATATTTGGGAATAAGTTTATAACAACTTACGAATACTATTAAAAAAACTCAAATTCTTAAATTTGACCTTAAAACATGGTAACACTCAGGGTAACCTTTTTTGTCTTACATTATTCTTCTGTAATACTAACTTGTCAAAGATATTTTGGAAATAAATAGCATGATTAAAATTAATCAAAATTTAGCTATACAGATTGTCCTTTAAAATATGCTTATTAAACAGACATTACTGTTGATTACAAGAGTCGAAAATATATCCACGTGATACAAAATATTATATGAAACTTTCAAATAATTTCAATCCAACTAGCCGAGGAAAAAATGAGTTACAAAACAACATCCATTCACTAAAATCAATTAAAGAAGTTAATGCATGCATTCTAAATTAATCTACCCCAGTGTTTCACCCTGAATTATTCCACAAATTCATTTGTTTTATGAATATTTGCTATTAGTTTTCAATCTTCAGATCTGTCAAAAGTTGCATTGCAAGACTGGTTAAGAGTTGTGTTATCTATCTTCAATTATTTCTTTCAAATACTATTAGAGGCCCTGGTGTATCCTGACAGCTAAAGTCCTCGCCTTGCACGCACCAGGATCCCATATGGACATGGGTTCTAATCCCGATGGCCCTGCTTCCCTTCCAGCTCCCTGCTTGAAGTCTGGAAAAGCAGTCAAAGACAGCCCAAGGCCTTGGGACCTTGCACCTGGGTGGGAGACCCAGAGGAAGCTCATTGACTCCCGGCTTCCCATCGGCTCAGCTCCAGTTATTGCAGTCACTTGGGGAGTGAATCAACAGACAGAGAAGATCTTTCTCTCTGTCTCTTCTCCTCTCTGTATATCTGACTTGCCAATAATAAATAAATAATAAAATTTAAAACAAAAAAATCTTTAAAAAAAATTTAAAGCAAATACTATTAGAAATCATTAAGAAACATCACAAAACAAATGCTAGTATTTCTAAAGATCATGACTTCTCAAGCAACAAAATTAAACTAGTGGGGCCAATGTGGAAGCATAGTCGGCTAATGCCCCATTTGTGGGGCCAGTATCCCATTTGGGAACCAGTTCATGGCCTACTTGGTGGACTGGGCTCAGGACTTTGCAAAGGCTCAAGTCCTTTGAGCCCCTGCACCAGAAGTTGTTCTGGACTCCTAGCTCCTGACAGGCCCAGAACTGGCCACAGTGGGTGTTTGGGGAATGAACTAGGAGATGGAAGATCTCTTCTGTCTCTCTCCTCTCTTAACTCTTACAAGTAAAATGAATAAATTTAGAGAGAGAGGAAAACTAACCAAAAACCTTTTACCACTTAATTCTGTTCATTTTATGCACAAATAATTCAAACTTAACCATTCTATAAAAATGCTTGTATGCTTTCCAGAGTAAAGGTTATTTGAATTGTGATACATACGTTATTCATTTTATTCAATTTATACTGATACAGAAACACACTTCAAAAAGTTTTAAATTTTAGTTATTCTGTCTTTTAAAAAGCACATAAAATGGGAAATGAACTATTTAAGCCTTATTACCAAAGCCTTCCTATCTATGCCTTGCTACAGAGCTTTGCTTGTTTTCATGTACAAGTAAAATCTGTTTACTGTGCAAGTATTCAAAAGCAAATAACAAAATGCAATCTTCCCAAAAGAACGACTTTTTCTTCTGCTTGCAGTCTAACACTGGTACTACTGTATTAAACTGATTGCAGGATCTCAGATTCATGGCACACAGAAATCACTTCAAAGACTACAGAAAATCTAAAAATATTAACACTTCTACAGATTATATAGAGAGAGTACAATCATACTACTATAAAAATGAAAATGCAAGCTCCAACCTAAAAAGCAACCAAAACAATGAGGTATTGTAGCTTTTAAAAGAGCTTGGGAAAAAAAAATAGAAACAGTGTTATTCTACAGCTTTATAATGAGTACCTCATTCTTCAATTATTGTAAGTGCAAATATCGTATTTGTACACTTTCACTGTATGAATTTAAAAGAAGCACCAGCACATTGAAAGTCAGCGGGGTTGCATTCCTCGCTCCTGGCTTCAAGCACTGTCCCTACAGTGCCAGCCCCAAGAGTCTGAAGAGTAATCCAGTAGATGGAGGGACGCATTGTCTGCCCTTCTCTTGCCCTCTCCTTCCCTCCCTCCCTCGGAAATAAGAAAACAGACAAAAAAACACAAAATTCTAAACCAATTTTTAAGAAACCAAATTAATAAATCACCAAATGTATTCACATATATTACATATAGTTTCTTATGTAAATTTTAGAAATATCTACAGTGGTCTGTGCTATACACATTCTCATACTATCTTCCTTAATGATATTTGCATGGAAGAAATGTGAGTTTACCAACTTCAGCATCTCTTTTTCTGTGGTTTAATATTTTCTAATATCACTTATATTCAATATAAATGTTGAATGCATGTTTTTTACTTCCTAAATAAATTCACTAAATAGTTTTTAAAAATCCATTTTCAAACAATATCATTAGCAACTGGTATGTATCCTAAAAATATAAGGTTGATATGCTTGTACATCGGATTGATTCAACGCTCTGTATCAACAGATAAATAACAGGGAAACAAACAAAAACTCATAAAATTCTCTAAACAGGTACAGCCATGATAATGATCCAACAACCGTTTACCCAGTTACCAAGGAATGCAAGATACAGAAGCAACAGCAGGAGGAGATCAGAAAAGGAGTTCAGGAAATAAAAAAAAAGGATATGCTCAAGATATCCGATCGCACAGATGGCTGTGCAACAAATACCTTCAAGCATGAGAATACTTCAGAAAATGTGTGGAAAATGCAATTTATTTTGGTGCAAAAATTTTTTGAAGTCCTTGCGTTTCTACTCTACACATTTCCATGAATTTCCTAAATATTGTTTGTTGATCAACTTAGCAAATTATATGTAAGATTCCAACCATCACTAAATACCAGTTACCTATGACACTTAAGAAAGCAATAACTTCTGATTCCATAGATTAGAAATTCAGTCCAGTTCTATTTGTCTTATTTTTTTAATTTTTATAATTTAATTTAATTTTTTCATTTATTTATGTTTCATCTACTTGGAAGACTAAACAGAGATAGGGGAAAGCAGGGAGAGAACAGGGTCTGCTCATGCCAAAATGACCAGCGAAGCTTGGGCTGAACCAGGCCGAAGGCAGGAACCCAGAACTCCAACAGAGCTGGCAAGGAGCCAAGCACCTGACCTCCTCCAGCATTCACAAGTAGCTAGATTGGAAGCAGAGCAGCCTGGATTAAAAATACACTACTTTATATGGGATGTGCCACAATACATTTCTTTTCTTAAAGCACAACATACGTAAAGAAAATTGTACAAATCATAAACGTACAGCATGAAATATGGCAAAACTTAGACATACATGTTATTAACTTGTTTATGCATTCACACATTCATTTCAGAGACAGAAAGTATAAAACAGAGTGAGAGCCCTTCAACTGGTTTAATCACCAAATGATGACAAATACTGGCACGGGGGTAGGGGGAACTTCAAAGCCAAGAACCAGGAACTCAAACCAGCCTTCACATGTGCATCAGAAGCAGGCAATCATCTGAGCCATTATCCTTGCCTCTCAGGACCTGCATTAGCAGAAAACTGGAACAGCAAGAGCAGATCAAACTCACCATAATCCAATCAGGAACATGAACATTCTAACCAGCAGCTTAACCACGAGGCCCAAGTACATGTTCTTAAGTAAGTGTTCCAAGGATGAAACAATGAACACCCAATACTAAATTAAATTATCTTTCTGAAGTATCCTTCCCTTCCTTTCTTTGCAGACCTAACATTTATCTTAACTTTCAAGTTACAGATCAGAAGCAACCATCTCTTCTAAGAGGTAAACAGGTCTTAACACTACTAAACATCTCTGCTTTTTAAACTTTCATTTTTTCAAAGTGAAGGCATTATTATCCCTAGGGCATAAACTAAATTATACCCTAGAGAAACAGAAAAAAAATAAAGCTATTCTGCTTAAAAATAAGGGTAACAGGATTTCATGACAGTAAGCTGATACACCCTCTTTTAAACATTCTAAGATAGCCTGTTCTCTTGCTCATCTACTCTCATCATGTACCCAAACTATCTGATAGCAAGGCTTGTTTTACCTTTTATTTCTTTTGCACCTCCAAAATATCCATTAAACATTTCTACTGGGAGATTATTCTAACAAAATGTATGAAGGATAAATTAGTAGAGTAAAAGATTATAGAAAAGTATTTGTAGAGGCAGTGAAGTAGAAAAACATGTCAGAACTGGAAACCTACTGGCTGGGAAGAAAGCAACATAACATAAGCTTTTAAGCAGGCAGTGGCAGGCGAGGAAGAGCTTTGCAGGTTACTGTAAAAATTTGAACTGGAATTACTTTGTATCTTTAAATTTTACTGTATATGATCATTTGTTATAACAAAGAAATTTTGTAGAGGAGAATAAGACAACCCAGTATACTTTTTTAGATCATTCTGGCTGCTGTCTGAAGAATGTGATTGTGTACAAAAGGGAAAAAACTATATAATAATAAATACAACTGAGGCAAAGAAGAAAATTAAGCAGAGGACAGGCACGCTAGTGAATCAGATAGACATCACATGCAACCCCAGAACTTCGTAGCAGAGTGCCTGAGATAGAGTCCCACTTCAACGTCCAACTCGGCTTTCTGCTCACGTGCACCCTGGGTCCCTCGCA